GGACCAACCCTGTGGATTATTCAGGAAATAACAGCAGAAATCATGGAATACAGAATGGTTTGGGATGGAAGGGACCAACCCTGTGGATTATTCATGAAATAACTGCCCAGGGCACTGCTCCTGCCCCCAGGGAGCCCCCAGGGAGCCCCCAGCCCCGTCCCCAGCCCCAGCCCCTCACCCTGGCCGGTGCGGCAGCGGCGGCCGCTCTCGAAGGAGAAGAGGTTGGCGTCGAAGCCGTAGCGCCGCAGGCACAGGTAGGGCCACCGCACGGCATCGCGCTTGTGCGAGTGCAGCACCAGCTCCCCCGGCGCCAGCTCCAGCACCCCCGAGCCCAGCTCCTGCCCCTCGTCGTCCACGTTGGTCACCTGCGGGGCTCAGGTTCGGTCAAAGAGAGAAACGAGAGTTTCTAGCCAGGCAGGAGCCTGGGAAAGAGCTGGAGAGGAATGTAAATAATTCTTTATCTCTCTGGTTGTTCACATTATTTACAGTTAAGTTCTATCACTGTGTGTCAAGCACTGTACACCAATGGATTGATTTGTTTTCACTTCAGGACCAATGGAGTTGGCCCTCCCAAAGCTCTGTATAAAGAGCAGTGTATTTTGAATAAACCAGAGTTTTATTCTCAGGTTTTTTTCCATTGGACCAATGGAGTTGGTCCTCGCGGTGTATTTTGAATAAATCAGAGTTTTACTCAGTTTTTTTTCCATTGGACCAATGGAGTTGGTCCTCACAAAGCTCTGTATAAAAGAATGGTGTATTTTGAATAAATCAGAGTTTTACTCTCAGTTTTTTTCCATTGGACCAATGGAGTTGGTCCTCACGAAGCTCTGTATAAAAGAGCGGTGTATTTTGAATAAATCGGAGTTTTACTCTCAGTTTTTTTTCTGTTGGTCCTCACACAGCTCTGTATAAAGAGCAGTGTATTTTAAATAAACCAGAGTTTTACTCTCACAGCCTTCTGAGTCAGAATCTTCTCATTCCCGTCTCGCCTCGACAGCGACAGTCACCTGCAGGGTGGGAGCCACCAGGGCATGGATTGTGCACGTCCTCCGTTTGTTCAGAGTGAAATGTCAATTTTAAAGAATTTAGAGATGTTAGAGGAGCTAAGATTTTAGTTAGAGATAAGCCTTACTAATTCAAATAAATGAGTAGGCCTTGATGAAGTTAAGAGTTAGGAGTTAACTAATGATTGCTTGTCAGCACAATGCTGAGTTAGCTGGGTTTATAATGAAGAATATAAATTGATAAATAGCTTTTAGGAACATAAGACAATTGTGGCCTCCTCTGTTCTGAAACCAATTGAAGACAAAAAATGGGATTTCTACCTAGAGTTCATTTGTCATATTTGCATTGAAAAGGTAGAAAGGTCAGAAGGAGGAAGACTTCATTGACTTCCTCATTTTGGGACCCCTCCCCATGAAAGGGACCCATTTCAAAGAACAAACTATGCTTAAATAGCTTTTGAAATAATTAGCATACGAAGTGAGGAATGGGATGTACCAAAATGATGAATATGTATTTGTATTTTGGGTATTTGTATGGATAAAAGGGCTCTGCAATCACCTGGAAGCTGCGGTGTGGATTTGGGAGCAATCCCACACACAGTAAACACAATAAACACACACTTTGTAACTTTAAACTGTCAGAGAGTTTTTGTCCCTCACAGCTGGATATCAGTACTAGATCAATATCCGTATTTTTTTAATAAATCAAGAGAAAGATGAAGATTTCTTGTCGCCCTGATTTTCTAAAGCCTTCTGAGTTTATATTCTTGCAGGGAACTTTCTCACACGCTTTATGTAAATAACTGATTGTTTTGTACTCCTTCATAGAGGCGGAGAGATCTGATGGGCTGGGGGTTTGTCCAGAGTTGTTGGAGAGGTGGCACCTTCACCCTCCAATCCACTGCCACCTTTGGAAAACCATCAGTGCTGGAGTCAGAAAAATAAACTAAATAAACTTGCTCTTTTACCTTCACGATAGAGCAGCTCACGTGGTGCTTTCTCGTGTCCTGGAGTGACAATTTCTGCCAGGCAAAGCCTGGGAAAAAGTCCAAGAGGAATGTAAACAATCGATTATCTTGTTTTCCACTCATATTGTTTATGTTCTGTCACACTGACCTAAGGCCAGTGCACTAGCCAGGTGAAATGTTTTTACTTTAGGACCGATGGAATTAATGTTCAGGATGTTCTCTATAAAAGAGAGAAGTGCTTTTGAATAAATGTTCATTTATTTGCCTTCTGAAATTGACTTTTTACCTGTCCCTCGCTCAATCACAGCCACGCACTGGCCCGGGTGGAGAAGATCAACAAGACCAAATCTGCACAGGGGTGGCACCATAAGGGAACAGGCCTGGGGGAAAAATTGATAGAAACTCCACATTTGCAGCATTTCTGAGAGAGAGAGGGCACAATTTCTGTTTGGAATGAGATTTGAGCTACTCCAGTCTAGGCCTCAGGTCTGGGCCTTGTGAGGCCTCCAAGCCTGGGACACAGAAATTGAGAGTTTGTGGCACAGCCAAAAATTGAGAGTTTGTGACACAGCCAGAAATTGAGAGTTTGTGGTGCAGTTAGAAATTGTATTAAGGTGTGATGTGAAGCACTGGGCTGTCTGGGTGTGAAGCAGTGTAAGTTTATAGTGTGAGGTTTAGGCCACCTTAAGACAAAGACAAACAGTGTTATCTTGCCAATCAGAGTGCCTTTGTAAACTGTAAACTATATAATGTATATAAAGTGTATATAAACTGCCATCTTCTCTCTAATAAACAGAGAACATTGCATTAACCATACTGGTTCGACGTTCGTTCTGTCCTGTCCACATTTCCTGTTTTATGAGGACCCTGGTTTCAACTCCACCCATTGACAGGAGCTCGATCCTTTTCTTTATTAAGAAAGCAATTTTCTATTTCTAAACTTCTATCAAGGAATAAATTATTTCTTTCTTTATTAAGAAACTCATGCTTTTATAGACATGATACAGCTGGGCTAATTGCTCCTCCAGTCCAAACACTGGCTAATTAAGAAATCACCCTTTGGTAAACAAATCTCCATAACACATTCCACAGGTTCACAGCAGCAGGTGTAGTAAGTTAAGATTTGTTTCTCGTTCTTTTCTCTGATCTTCTCACAGCCCTTCCCAGAACGGTGCTTGGGAAAGTTGTCTGAGAGCTGCTGCCACAGGGGGGAACTCCCTGGGCACTTCCAAGGCCTGGCCACGCTTTCCATGAGGAAATTCCTGCTGATTTCCAGCCTAAACCTCCCCTTTTTGGGACACACAAAAGACTTTGGACCTGGCTAGCACACGAGATTTGACAATCAGGATGCCTTGGCAAGAACAAACAGCTTTGAAGATCCCAAGAAGATTAAACCAGGCTGACTTACTGGGTAAGAAAATTGCATCAAGACTCCTGCAAGCAAGAGATGTTGTAAAATGCTACGTTTGTTTATGTGCTGATTAACTCAATCATTGCAGCAAAACATCAGTAGCCTTCCTAAAATAGTGTATAAGCATAGGTAGCCCACAGTAAATTTGGATTCTTCTGACCATCTCTTGGAGTCTCCCTGTTCCTCTCATCATCACTGATGTCCCCTGGCCCAGCCTGAGGCTGTTCCCTGGGATAAGATCCCAAATCCCCCTGGCTGTCCCCTCCTGTCAGGGCCAGAAATTCCCCCTGAGCCTCCTTTGCTCCAGGCTGAGCCCCTTCTCAGCTCCCTCAGGACTCTCCAAACCCTTCCCAGCTCCCTCAGGATTCTCCAAACCCTTCCCAGCTCCTTCAGGATTCTCCCTCAGGACTCTCCAAACCCTTCCCAGCTCCCCCAGGATTCTCCAAACGCTTCCCAGCTCCCTCAGGATCCTCCAAACCTTTCCCAGCTCCCTCAGGATTTTCCAAATCTTTCCCAGCTCCCTCAGGACTCTGCAAACCCTTCCCAGCTCCCTCAGGATTCTCCAAATCCTTCCCAGCTCCCTCAGGATTCTCCAAACCCCTCTCCAGGTGCTGCAGCTCCTTTCCCTTCCCTCCAGCCCCTCCACATCTCCCTTGCTGTGAGGGCCCAGAGCTGGACGGGGCTCTCCAGGTGTCCCTGAGCAATTCCATGGATTCCTCCCTTTTCCTGCTGCCTTTTTCCCAGCTGGCAGCAGGGATCTGTGGCTGGCAGCCCTTGGCAGCTCAGCTGCTGTGGCTGAGCCCTGGAACACAGCCCTGAGCAATAAAAGGTTTTTCTTTTCAGTCCCCCATTTCCTTGCATTTCTCAAGCAGAGGTGATTTAGCAGCAAATACAAGCACATTTTCAGCAGGAGTTTCTTAAGGAAAGGGGAAAAATTAAAAAAAAAACAAAACAGAATGATGAATTTTCATATTTGTGTGCAGGGGCAGGAGTTTGCTCTCTCCTCATGCAGTCAGAGCTGTCCCATACCCTCTGATGGGGTTGGAAGGGCAAAACTTTACCTTGAATTTGGTGGGGTGGTTGTCTGGGATGCTGTCTGAGCACAGACAGCTGCAGCAGCTCCCCATGACGCCAGGCAGAGAGGACATCCCTGGGGACAGGACAGGCACGGTCAGATCCCAAATCCAACTCCCCCAGCATCTCCAGCTGTGCCCTCCCCCATCCCCGTGGGGCTGGAGCTCCAGCTCTTTGCTCTGCTCCCTGATTAACGAGAGTTGTGTTAATTAAAACCAGTTCCTACCATTAGGCAGTTGTTGGATTTGTCGTGGAGGAGTGAGAAGGAATTCCCACTGCAGTCCCTCTACCTCCCTCGGGATTTCATGGCAAGCAAGTTTCACCTAAAACATGAGGGGAACACTCCCATCTTCCACCTGGCAAGGAGAACACAATTAAACAACGATAAAAGCAGAGAAAATTAAAAGGCAGGGGGTGGGAGAGTGACTGAACTTCCCTTCAGACAACCCAAGGAAAGCAGGTGCATTTTGTGTTTAATTAATTACATTTACATCAACACAGAAAACTCTGCACAGCGATGAAAAATGCACAGCTAAAAATAACTTTTAAAGATTTAAAGAAGAGCTATTTTATTTCCTGGATTTGGGATGCTACAGAGGAGTGGGGTTTAGCGGGGTGAAGGAAATAAAGCTGAGCAGCCAGGGGTGGTGAGGCAGCTGCTGAGGAATGCGAAGGTGCCTTCACTGCAGGGAAGGTCCTTCAGGGTCAGAGAACCAGCAGCTGCTCTGCTTCGGAGGAGGAGAAGCAAAGAAAGGCCAGAAAACACAAGAAATCTGATATGTGACCCAGAAAACACAAAAATTCTGATATGTGACCCAGTCAGTGCGAGGATCAGGCAGGAAGGATGCAGTGAGGAATACTCCTGTGTTTTCACTCACAGAGTTACTCCTGATTTTTTGTTGTTTTTTTTTTTTAATTGTAGTGAGCAATGGGAAATTCTGCTGTCCCTGATGGGAACTTGGGCATGTGACAGGGAATGATGCCAGGTGTGCCCTGAGAGCAGCTCAGTGTCTCCACCTGATCCACCAGGACCCCCAGCCTGGGATGGAAATGGCAATTTGGGAACCCTCTTTCCATTGGGAAACTTTTTCCATTGGGAACCTCCTTCCATTGGAAACCCCTTTCCATTGGAAACCTCTTTCTACAGAAAATCTCTTTCCATTTGGAACCTCTTTCCATTTGGAACCTCTTTCCATTGGAAACCTCCTTCCATTGGAACCTCCCTCCATTGGGAACATCCTTCTGCTGGAAACATCTTTCTGCTGGAAACCTCTTTCCATTAGAAACCTCTTTCACTGGAAACCCCTTTCCATTGGAACCCCTTTCCTTTTGGAACCCCTTTCCATTGAAACCCATTCCATTTAGAACCTCTTTCCATTGGAAACTCCTTCCATTGGAAACATCTTTCCTTTTGGAACCCCTTTCCATTAGGACCTTCTTCATTGGAAACCTCCTTCAGCTGGAAACCTCTTTCCATTAGAAACCTCTTTCATTGGACACCCCTTTCCCTTTGGAACCCCTTTCCATTGGAATCCCTTTCCATTGTTTCCATTGAAACCTATTCCATTTAGAACCTCTTTCAATTGGAAACTCCTTCCATTTGGAACCCCTTTCCATTGGAAACCCCTTTCCATTGGAATCCCTTTCTATTGGAACCCCTCTCCATTGGAAACCTCTTTCCATTAGGAGCCTCCTTCACTGGAAACCTCTTCCTGCTGCAAACATCTTTTCTACTGGAAACCTCTTTCCATTGGAAAACTTTTTCCATTGGGAACCTCTTTCTATGGGAAACCCCTTTCCATTTGGAACCCCTTTCCATTTGGAACCCCTTTCCATTGGGACCCTCTCCCTCTGCCAGAATCTGCCTCCTCCTCCTGCTCCTGCTCCTGCTCCTGCTCCTCCTCCTCCTCCTCCTCCTCCTCCTCCTCCTCCTCCTCCTCTCCTGCTCCTGCTCCAAACGAAACCCGGGGCCGTGGGGTGGCAGAGCTCCCTGGGCCCTTTCCAGTGCAGAGCGAGGGGGAAGAGCCCCACTTGAGCTGCCCAAGGGTCCCACTCCACTTTCACATCAAAACAGCTCCATCAATCACCTCCCACTGCCCCTCTGCGCTTCCCTTCGGCCCCTGGAGAACTCCTCACCATGGTCCAGTCCTGCCAAGTGCCCAGAAGAGGAAAAGTTTCTTTCTGTGCACGCTGAGAGCAAACAAAGCTGGTGCCAGCTGCCCTCCTGCACACACCTGCCCGCCCTCGAGCGGCACCACGCCTTGCCTGTGCCACCCCACCCCTGCTCCTTGGCCTGGGCTCAGCGTGGATTTGTTCCCCTCACAAGCTCATTTAGCACAGATCCTGCTCCATCCCACCTGGGCACTGCGGGCTGGCTCCTCTCCCCACTCCCACCTGAGCAATTCCCTCAGGAATAAGGGCTGGGAGAAAACATTCTGCTCTTCCTTCACTCCTCTCCCCCCATCCCCACCTACGAGGGGCCAGCCTGAAGTGCTGTGGCTCACCAAGGACGATTCTTACACCGAGAACTGAACAAATGAACTAAAAAACCACCAGGAGCTCCCCGAGCGCTCCCTGGGCGCTTCCCGCTGCTCCTGGCTGGGGGAATATTTCAGCAGCATTCCTCCCACACAGAATTCCACTGGGAATCGCCAGGCTCCTGCTCTGCACTTCCAGCTCACCTTCCCACACCTGTTTGCCAGCCCAGAGCCCAGCCAGTCCCTAAAACCACCCCAGCACGGCTCCCACAGCAGCACTGGGACCCTCCTGAGGCCACCAGCCCCATCCAGACCCTCAGGATCCCAACCCAAATCCTCCTCAGCCCTGCCTGGACCAGGCTTTCCCAAATTCCCAGGTTGTTCCCACCCTCCCAAACCCTCAGCCTGCAGAAGCCACTTGTGCCTTCATCCTCCTTAAACCCAGAGCGGGGGAAGCAGCATTCCCTAATCCCAAAGGGCCAGGGGGACACCCCGACACCCCCTGCACAGGGACACACGGACAGCTCGTGTGGAAAAGCTCCTGGGCCCACATCAACCCCTCCAGGACACGTGGGGACAGACCCAATGCGGCATCCCAGGAAAAGGAGGGAGCAGGGATGGCAAGGAGAAGGGGATGGAGGGAAGAGGAAAGGGATGGGGGACTGAGGAGGGGGCTGCAGGGAGGAAGAAGGGGATGGAGAGAGGAGGAACTGCATGGAGGGACGGGGAAGGGGATGAAGAGACTGGGAAGGGGATGCAGGGATGGGGAAAGGGATGGAGGAAGGCGGAAGGGGCTGCAGGAATGAGGAGGATGGGGCTGCAGGGACATGGAGGGAGGAGGAGGGGGATGGAGGGATGAGGAAGGGGATGGAGGGAGGAGGAGGGGGATGGAGGGAGGAGGACAGGGATAGAGAGAGGAGGAAGACGATGAAGGGATGAGGAAGGGGATGGAGGGAGGAGGACGGGGATGAGGGGATGAGGAAGGGGATGAGGGGATGAGGACGGGGATGAAGGGATAAGGATAAAGGGAGGAGGACGGGGATGGAGGGAGGAGGAGGGGGCTGGAGGGATGAGGATGGAGGGATGAGGAAGGGGATGGAGGGATGAGGAAGGGGATGGAGGGAGGAGGAAGGGGATGAGGGGATGAGGATGAAGGGGTGAGGATGGAGGGAGGAGGAGGGGGCTGGAGGGATGAGGATGGAGGAATGAGGAAGGGGATGGAGGGATGAGGAAGGGGATGGAGGGAGGAGGAAGGGGATGAGGGGATGAGGATGAAGGGGTGAGGATGGAGGGATGAGGAGGGGGATGGAGGGATGAGGATGGGGATGAGGGGATGAGGATGAAGGGGTGAGGATGGAGGGATGAGGACGGGGATGGAGGGATGAGGACGGGCCTGCAGAGCCCGCGGGAACGAGGGGCCTGAGGAAGGGGCGAGCCCCGGGGGTACCGGGAATTGCCGGGGCAGCGCGGGGAGCGCCGGCGGGAGGGGACGGGGGCGATGCCGCGGCCCCGCTCCAGGCGCGGCTCGGTACCTGAGGCGCTCCCGGCTCCGCCGTCCGGGAAGCTGCGGCGGCCCGGAGCCCCCGGCCCGGCCCTTCCCGGGGCCCGGAGCGTGTCGGGGCCCCCGGCCCGGCCCTGCCCCCGGCCGGCCCGGCGGCTCCGGGGGTCCCGGTGGGGCCCGGAGCGATCGGGGCCGGGCCGGGCCCGCCGGAGCAGCGACACCGCCCGCGCCGCCGCCAGGGGGCGCCGGGGGGCGCCGGGGGCGGAGCAGGAGGGGCGGGGCTTGGGTGGGCGGGGCTTGGGGTGGGCGGGGCTTGGGTGGGCGGGGCCTGGTGGTAAGGGGTGAATGGGAGAGGATTTGGGGTCTGGGAGAGGATTTGGGGTCAGTGAGAGGATTTTGGGTCTGTGAGAGGTTTTGGGCTTAGCGAGAGGATTTGGGGTCAGCGAGAGGATTTGGGGTCAGCGAGAGGATTTGGGGTCAGTGAGAGGATTTGGGGTCAGCGAGAGGATTTGGGGTCAGTGAGAGGATTTGGGGTCTGTGAGAGGTTTTGGGGTCAGTGAAAGGATTTGGAGGTCAGGGAGTGGGTTTGGGGGTCAGTGAGAGGATTTGGGGGTCTGGGAAATGAGAGGTTTTGGGGTCAGTGAGAGGTTTTGGGGGTGAGAGAGTGGGTTTGGGGGTCTGGGAGAGAATTGGGGGTCATTGAGAGGATTTTGGGGTCAGTGAGAGGATTTTGGGTCTGTGAGAGGATTTGGGGGTCTGGGAAATGAGAGGTTTTGGGGGTCAGTGAGAGGTTTTGCAGTCAGTGAGAGGATTTTGTGTCTGTGAGAGGTTTTGGGGGTCAGGGAGTGGGTTTGGGGGTCTGGGGAGGGAGAGGGGCTCTGGGGGTCAATGCAGGGGGATTTGGGGGGATCTGGGCTGGAGGATTGCTGAAGGAAGGGTCAGTGGAAGGAGATTTGGGGGGGGTTGGGATCAAAGGAGGGGGATTTGGGGACTCTGGGGTTGAAGGGGTGTCCTGGGGTGTCTGGGGTGTCCTGCCCTCCGAGGGGACACTGCTGCCACTGTCACCGCGGCGCAGTGGCCGATGCCACCTGGGAAAGCCCCGAGTGCCCTGGCTGTCCCTGTGTCTGTCCCTGTGCCCACGGAGGACTTTGCCCGTGGATCTCTCTGCCCTGGGGAGGGATGGAGGAGCGTGGGGGGAGCGGGGGACAAGGGGGGCCCTGTCACCACCCGCGGGGATAAAGTCCCAGGCAGGAACTGGGCCCAGAGAAAGCTGCAGGACTGAGCTCCCAGCGAGGCCAAGCAGCAGTGACAGCGTGGGGACATCGGGGACCTCCAAGGGACCCTGCCAAGTGTGGAGGTGCTCACCCCTCCTCCTCCTCCTCCTGCTTCTCCCCCTGCTCAGGGCATTTTTCAAAGTGTCCTCAAATGGTTTGGGTTGGAAAGGACTTTAAAAATCCCTTTCCTGCCACGGACAATTTCCAGGTTGCTCCAAGTGGTGCCTTACCCGGCCTACCTAAAACAGAGGCCAGACAGAATGAAGGGAATAAAAAAGCAGTTTTATTTACTGAAGGGCCTCCAGGTACATTTAGGACAGATGAAGCCCACCCAAAAACGGACCATGTGTCAGGGGTTTCATGCTTTTATAAGTTTGGGTCATTTGCGTATTGGGGGTTAATCTTCCAATTAAAGCTTCAGGTAATGAAGTTGTTTTACCCCAAGTTTGCTCCTCCCCAACTCCCTTTTGTTCCCATCTCTCTGGCTTGAGGCAGTGAGGTGTCCTTGATTCCAGGCCTGGAGAGGGATTGTTTTGGAAAAATGGGAAAGCAGCAGCTCCCACTGTGTGTGGAGTTTAGATTTACACACTAAAGAACTGCAGGATTACAAATGTATGGAAATGATAAAAGCTGAATTCCTAAGGCATCGCAAACCCCATCCAACCTGGCCTTGGACACTTCCATGAGGCAGCCCCACAACCTGTGCCCAACACCCCTGCACGGCCTCGCCCAGCGGTGCCACGGGCTTGTCACAGAGCCTGGCACCTCTTCTGCCAAATTGCCATCCCTGTGCGTTTTTTTTGCAGTGCCACCCTGATCCCAGAGCCTCCGACACCCCTCGGGGCTCCCAAAACGAGCCACAGCTCCCGGCACCACGCAGGAGGCAGAGATCCAGCCTGGTCCCCGCAGACGTGGGGGGGTTTTTGGGGATGCTGCGTCCTCTGTCATCCCCAAAGTCACGTCAGCGGGCAGGAAAATCTTACAGCACGCTGAGAAACGCACAGAAACACCAACAGGACGCTGTGCCTCGCGTCAGGCTCTGCTAAATTTTCCCCTGAGTCCTGCCCGGGTGGAATTGCTGCAGCCGGAGCCGGTCTTGGAATGGCTCGGAGGAGCCTCGTCAGGTGTTCAGGGCTTGTGGAAACTGGGACATCCTGACTTGCCGCTGGCTAACTCCTTTGTGAGAGCCCAGCCAAAGTTTCTCCACCTCTAAATTGGGGTGTAATGACACTTCCCCCTCTTTCATGAAGCTTCAACTCTTTCTGATCTCGGCAGGGAAATAAATCACCGCGCGGGATCATAAAAGCCATCAAACGGCAACCCGGGGTGAACCGAGCCGCAGATGGAGGGAAGGGCGCGGGCGCTCGGAAAATGAGAGGTAGGAGCGAGCCAGATGTCACCGGCAGCTCTTTCCCCTGTAGGGTTAATGTCCCCCCCCTTTCCCCTCCCTGCCTGCCCTGGAATTCCAGCCATTGGCTGCCTCCCGAGGTTTAGGCTAAAAAGCCTCTAATTAGGACCCCGGCTGCCGCGGAGCCAGTACCTGGGCAGGCAGGGAAAAAATAAAAGAGAGAGAGGAAAGAAAGAAAGAAAGAAAAGAAAAAAACAACAACAAAAAAAGCGTTTCCCCGACGGAGCTTGGATGTTTTCCTTTCGCTTTGCAAAGTTTCCCCAGCCCAGGCTCCGTTCGCTCGCGTCCTCCGGAGCAGGGCGGGACGGCGGCGGCCGGCGCGGGGCTGGAGCGGGCGGCCGAGCCCGGAGCGGCGGAGCGCGGGGCCCGGAGCGCCGGGAAGGGGCAGGTACGAGCGGCTGGAAGCGACTCCCGAGCGCGGCTCTCCCGGCTCCGAGCGGGGATGGAGCTGCGGGAGAGGGAGCTTGGGAGGAGGGGGCAGCGGGAGGGTCCTGCTGCCGGGGGAAGGGGACGAGGCGGAGCGGGGGGATTTTGGCTGTTTGGAGGTTTGTTGTTTTGTTTTTTTTTGGAGGGAGATGATATCGCTGTCCCCGCCGTCTTTGTTTCCGGGAAATGTCCCCTGAGAGCAGGAGGTGACGCCCGGTCCATCGTGCCAGGCTCTGCCAGCCCTGAGCCGGGCAGGTGCGCTGCACCATCCCTGCTCCAGCTGGGATTGGCCGGGAATGGGATATTTGGGGATGGGGGATGGAGCTGGGCCCCTTCGGACGTCTGGTGGCCACAGGGAGGGGTGGGGGGCTTCGTTCTGGTGGTCACAGGGAGAGGCGGGGGGCGAATCTTCATCCCGGGGGCTGCAGGCAGACGAGGGGCGGGGGTCTCGGTCCGTAGCTGCGGGTGTCCGGATGGCTGAGCCAGGCTGGGTTAATGGGTTACTGCTCCCTGCCGTGCTGTGGGACTGAGGGCAAGCACGGCGGGAAAAGCCTCTGGCAGCGCTGGCACATCCCCTGGTGAGCCAACGGGCCGCTGTCCCCTCCGGTGACACGGGTGACACGGTGCGGTGTGGCAGAGCAGGATGCTGAGACCCTCCCCCATCATTTGGGGGGCTGCAAAGGCGTTTTTAAAGCCCAGCAGTGGCACCGAGGGCCGCTCCACCTGGTGCCACCCCAGGTCCAAAAGGCACCGTGGGCTCCCCGCGAGACCAGCTGCAGGTCGGGCAGGACCTGCTGCTCCGGCTCTCCCTGCCAGGCCTCAGCTTATCTCGCCCCAAAAGATGCATCTTTATTGCTCTGCATCTTTATTTCTCCGCATCTTTATTCCTGCTCCTCCAGCGCAGCTGTGTTGACGGGAGCTCAAGCAGAAACAGGTTATCCCGTGGGTGAGGCCAGCGTGGAGCTGTGCCCCTGGGAGCTGCCGGCGCTGCTTTGAGGGGCTTTTTGGAGATGTTGTGTTTCCTGCAGAAGCAAAGTTGAGGCAGGGATGGGAACAAGGGAGCCTGTGCTGAATTCCGAGCAGGCTGGGGTGGCTGCGCTCCAAGTTAATGTGTGACCTTGGCAGCAGAGGGCTGGGAGCCCACACGGGCTCCCACAGCCAGCTGGAGACAGGGGCTGCTGCCGGCGAGCCAGATCAGATCAGTATTCCCAGGAATTCCAGCCTCTTGTACCCAGGGAGCCGCGACGGCTTCCGATCCTTTCGGAGAGTTCGGGCAAACGCATCCGGAGGAGCTCCCGCAGGCAGGAGGACGAGGAGGATTTCCAGCCAAGGCAAATGGCAGCCGGTGCCACCCAGCCTGCCCGACTGGTCTGTCACACGTCCCTTCCCGGGGACCTGCTGGCAGGGAGAGGCAGCTCCCCCAAAGTGCCACCATGGTGCCACCTCCGCCCGGCGCCTGAGCCCAGGTTTGGGGTGGCTGGAGCATCCCTGTATCCCTCGGCAGGGAAGGGCAGCAGGAGTGCCCGGAGGCAGCGAGGGAGGCAGGAAGGAAGAGGGGACAGGCCCGGGGAGCAGAGGAGCCAGACCTGTCGGGGCTGCCCGGCTCTTTAGCATTAGGGAGGCGCGTACCTCTGTCACCGTCTGGGGCTAATTACAGGGACTTGTTTACAGCCCAGACGGCTGCCAGCCAGCGTAATCACATCAAACTGGGCTGGGCTGGGCTCTGCGGCACATCCCCGAGTGTTCACAGCAGCCCCGAGCCCCGCAGTGCCACCCCACCGTGCTGGTGGCCCTGCCGTGGGCTCCCTGTGCCTCTCGGGGCTGGGGCCAGGCTGGCACCGCTGAGCATGGCAGGGGTCTAATGAACAGCAAAGTTCCAAGAGATTAATTACACAAATGCAGCTTGGAGGCTTAATGAGCCCAGCGCAGCCCGGGAGTGCCCCCACCTCCCACGGGAGGGAGAAATGGGGACACTGTCCCCAAACCAGGCAGAGCAGAGCTGGGGCTGCACATGAGGGTCCCCATTTGGCATCCCAGGGTCTCCCCCAGCCCTGCTCCTCCTGTCGAGCCGAGGCTGTTCCCTGGCCCAGCTCACCAAGCCAGCAAGGCCAGGGCTCTTTTTGGGCAGCAAATCTGCACTCAAACCGGATTATTTCATCCCTATCCCAAAGCACAGCTTTGAACGACACCCTACAACCATCCCTGCGTCCCCCCGGGCTGCCCCAGGGTTCCAGACCCCAAAGGGCAGGAAAAAGCCAGCAGCCTTTTTGTTTTATCTCTCTGATTAGCCGATCTGCAGCGTTAATCATTGACCCGGCAGCGGGGCAGGGAAACCGGAGCTGCCCCTGCCACATCCCAGCACCGCAGGGGCTGCTCAGGAAGGGGCACATGGGGGGCAGGGGATGCTGGAAGTGTTTGCTGGGAGCAGTGGGGACACTGCGATGTGTCCCTGACAGAGGGGACACGCCAGCCCCGTCCCAGTGTGGAGCAGGGAACGGCTCCTCGTGGTGGCAGAGGTGTAGGAGGACCAAAATTTCGTGGTCTGGGTGTTCTCACCTCTCATCCCTGAGACGGTTTTATGCATGGAACATTTTTCAGAGGGGTTGATCCACCCGTGGTGGGCGTTGCAGGGGTGAATCCCTCGGCGTGTTTGGTCACGGCCCCGTGATTGTCCCCCCCATCCCACCCTGGCTCCCCATGGCAGGGCAGGAAGCGCGGGCTGAGGGCGTCAGGCTCTGGGCTGGCATCCAGGGAACCCCAGGAGCCACCACATCAGCATCTCGCCTTTGTTTTGGGAAGCCGGGGCAGGAAGGAAGCGCGGTGGAAAGCGCCCGCGTGGGGAGGAGGGGACGGCTCCAATGGGTTTCCACTGCGTAACCCCAAGCCAGGCGTGTGCTGTGGGCTGGGACAGCCGGGCAGGAACAGCCCTGGGCAGAACAATGGCAGCCCGAGGGAAAGGATTTATTTTCCACTGAGTTGGGCTCAACCTCGGTCTGTTCCCACTAGACCTGGGATTACCAGTGCCAGCGAAGGGCTGGTGGCAGCTGGGGGAAAGCTCCTGCTGTGGGTGTTTCTGTTTTCCAAAACCTGTTCCAGCTTCAGATTGGGCAATTGGGGTCTTGACTGCCTGGCTTCATCCCCATCCCATCCCATCCCATCCCATCCCATCCCATCCCATCCCATCCCATCCCATCCCATCCCGCTCAACAGGCAAAACCCCAGTCCTGCCAAGTGCCCGTATCCTCGCTGTGGGTTTGCTGTAACCCCCAAAAAGAAAGGAGCCCCCCAAAAATCCCTCAGACTCATGCAGCGGTTCAGCCGGAAGATCTTGAGGCCGTGGTGCCTTGGAGCATCACTCCAGCTGGATGTGCTCCAGGGTCCCTGCAAGGGACGAGGAGCTGCTTGTCCTGCTGCCACGGGGACATGGGATCCGTGCCCAGGGATGGATCCCTGCTCCCTGCCTGGGGTCTGAGCCGTCTGCTCTCTGTCCCCAGCTGATGTCCCTGCCTGGGGTCTGAGCCGTCTGCTCTCTGTCCCCAGCTGATGTCCCTGCCTGGGGTCTGACCCCTCTGCTCTCTGTCCCCAGCTGATGTCCCTGCCGAGCCCTGCATGGCCCCAGCAGGACGAGCCCTCCCCGTGTGGCACCAGCACCGGCCTCCCCCCGGCCTCGTCCGACAGCGATTCCGGCTGTGCCCTGGAGGAGTACCTGGAGCCCCCCGCGGACCCCGCGCCCCCCGAGGTGGGCAGCACCCGCCTCTCCCCCAGCCCCGCGGGGTTCCCACACCGCAGCATCCCGTTTCCCGGGCTCCAGCACGCATTTTGGCACCTTCGACAAACCCTGACATTGCTGTTTTCTCCCAAGGTCCCGCCGTGCTTCGGGCCCCGCGCGCCCCAGCCTGGCTCTCCCTCTGACAGGACCCGGCTCCGAGCCAGAGCCCTCCTGCAGCAGCTGCCTCCTCAGGACTGCGATGTAAGGCCCCTCTTTTTGGGGTGCTGCTCCCCTCCCCAGGCTCACCTGATGTCCACAACCAAACAAAATTAGCTTTAAAATCAGTTTTATTTATTGAAGGGCTTTCAGGTACATTTAGGGCTGACAAAGCCACCCCAGGGGCTACACCCAAAAATGGACTACAGGTTACGGGTTTCACACTTTTATAAGTTGGGACCTTTGAATATTGGGGGTTAATCTTCCAATTAAAGCTTCAGCTAATGAAGTTATTGACCCCAAGTTTGCTCCTCCAACTCTTTTGTTTCCATCTCTCAGGGTCTGGGGCAGTGAGGTGTTGTTGATTCCCAGGCCTGGAGAGGAATTGTTGTGTCTGCCCAAAATGGGAAAGCAGCAGCTCCCACTGTATGGAGTTTAGAGTTACACACTAAAGAACTGTGGGACTCTAGATGATTGGAAAAGATAAAGGCTGAATTCCTAAGGCATCAGAGCCCCCCTGACCCCCGTGCCCCACAGGAGCGGTACTGCCCCGACCTCGCCGAGGAGGAGCGGCGCCAGCTCCGCGCCTTCAGCGCCCGCCGCAGGCAGGAGGCTCTGGGACAGGGCCTGGCGTGTCCCGTGCCGGGTCCCTGCCACGGCTGTCCCTGCAGGAAGGTGAGCTGTCCCCTCCAGCTGCCATTCCTTGGCAGGGACCCGTCCCCAAAAGCCAGCCCTGCCCCAAACCTCGCGTCCCTCTGCCTTGCAGTGCGGCCGGAGGCTGAACAAAGGGGACCCGGGGGTTTCGGCGTCTCGCCTGGGCGACCAGTTCTGGCACCCGTCCTGCTTCTCCTGCCACTTCTGCCACCAGCAGCTGGTGGATCTCATCTACTTCCAGCAGGATGGGAGGATCTACTGCGGCCGGCACCATGCCGAGCTCTTCCGACCCCGCTGTGCCTCCTGCGACCAGGTGGGTGCCGGGCACGGGGAGGCGTTGACCTCGCTTTGGCTGTTAAATGTCCCCGAGCTCGGCTGGAGGCTCCAAATCCATCAAAACCACTGATGGGCTGGAGGAATACCCCTGGATATCCTGGAGGGCTGGGGGCTCCTCCTCCCCGCTCAGCACAGCAGGACGGGGCGCTTTTTCCCATCCCAGCTGATCTTCATGGAGGAGTGCATCGAGGCCGAGGGCCGGCGCTGGCACCTGGAGCACTTCTGCTGCCTGGAATGCGACGAGCCCCTGCGCGGGCAGCGCTACGTGATGCGGAGCGGCCGGCCCTGCTGCCGGGGCTGCTTCGAGAGCCTCTTTGCCGAGCCGTGCCAGGCGTGCGGGGACCCCATCGGTACGGCCGTACCCCCGGAGCCTTTGTGGCGTCACGGGTTCGGGCTTTTTCTTGGGGGTTTGGAGAACCTCACGCTGTGGTTGCCCCGCAGGTGCTGAGAGCGAGGAGGTCACGCACCAGGGGCTGCACTGGCACGCCCGGGCCTCCTGCTTCTGCTGCAGCCGGTGCCGGGCACCGCTGCGGGGACAGCCCCTCACCTGCCGCCGCGGCCGCCTCTTCTGCTCCGACACCTGCGGCCAGGACGCCTCTCCCAGCGCCTCCGACTCCTCCGACTCGGCCTTCGCCTCCGCTCCGTCCCCCGACTCCACGCCCCTGTCCCCCGGCAGGAGCTCGGCAGCGGGGGGCTGCAGGCAGCGGGGGGAAGGGGCTGGTAGGGTCCTGCTGCCATGGGGTGGGAGCAGATCTGGGCTCTGGGGGCTTGACCGGGGATGTCACACCGTGGGAAGTGGTGATAAACTCCCCCCATGGTGGGAGCTGGGGGTGGGAGCAGATCCCGGCTCTGGGGGCTTCACTGGGGATGTCACACCGTGGGAGTGGTGATAAAGTGCCACCACGGTGGGGGCTGGGGGTGGGTTGGTGCTGCCCCGTTGTGTCCCTCGACAACCCTTGCTTCTCCTTCCTCCCTTACACCCACTTCCCCTCTTCCAGAGGCGTTTTTGGATCAGGCCCCGGTGCACCCCGCGTTCAGGAGCCCCGGGGATCTCGGAGCGGCTGCGCGGGAGCAGAGCAGCGACGCCACCAAGGAGCACCCAGGGGTGCTGGGACCCCCAGCCGGCCACCCCTCAGCCCCCCAGCCTGGCCCAGAGCGGCCCAGCGAGCCCGGAGCCCTGGGCCACGCGATTTTGGGGGACCCTGAACCCCGAACAGCCGCAGGCAGTGGAAACCCACCGTGCCAAGCGGGCACCTCCCCTCCCCGACACAGCCCCCGGGCAGAGGATGGCACGGAGGAGGACGACTCCTGGTGTCCCACCTGCTCCTCATCTTCGGACTCGGACTCGGAGGAGGAGGGCTTCTTTTTCGGGAAGCCCATCCCCAAGCCCGGGATGAATTCCCTGGGCAGGGAGCCCCCGGGGAGGGGCAGGGGCAGGACGGCCAAGCACTGCAGTGTGTCCTAACAGCGGGGTCCGGGGTCCCCGAGTGGCACTGCCAGGTCCTGCCACGGCCCAAGGCTGTGGGAGAAGCTGCTGGGATCCCTCCCCCGGCAGAGCCTGCGCTTCCTGCCAGCCTCTCCCAGAATTAGGAACAGGTAAAGCAGGAAGGGAGCGGGGCCGGGCCGGCCTCCAGCACCTCCGACGAGGCGGCAGCGCCGGGGAGAGCGGCCGGAGCTCCAGATGAGGGCAGCTGCCTGCATCACCCCGCTGCTCCCACTGGGATCCTTCCCCGGGCTCCTCCGTGCCCCACTGCCACCCCTCTCCATCCCTGGTGGCACCGTGTCCCGCTGCCACCACCGCGAGGGGACCGGGGCGCGGCACTGCTGCCGCCCATGGCAAAGCTCCAATAAAGTCTGGCTGAAAACTGAGCACAGGCTCTGCCCTGCTCCTTCCCAGCCCACTGTGACACTGACCATGGCACCAGGGCTGGGAGGTCCCCAGGGGTGACCTCTGCCCTCTGCCACAGCCGGGGTTCACTGTGGGACCCCTCCCTTGCAGGAACAGAGCAATGGCAGAGCAAGGGCTGCAAAGGAGACACGGTTTATTTGAACATTTAAACCCAGGAACACTCGCTGGGCTTTGGGAACACATTCCTGGCAATCAGCCATGGAGGAGAGGGGCTGCTGCCCTGCCTCCAGTAAAACCAGTAACACTTTTGCTGCCCTCAGGGGTTTGGGAAGGGCTAAACCCAAACACACCCTGCTCACCCTCCTTCTCCAAGAGACGCAGTGGGGCTGCCAACATGTCCCACCTCATCCCGCAGGCTCAGCACCCTCCTGAGCCCCCCAAAGCGCTGTCCCAGCCCCCATCACCCCCAGGCAGCTGGCAGGAGGGGGTGGCTGCCCTCAGAGGCCGGCGGTGCCCGAGTCCAGGCTGTCGATGAAATCCTCCAGCTGCTGCAGGTGGTGCCGGCAGCCCTGGCGGAGGTTGGCCCTGAGCGCCAGCCCCAGCGCCGCCTCCATCGAGGGCTCCTTCTGCAGCAGCATCGTGGCCACCACGGCGATGCTCAGGCTGAACTGCTGGTACGACTGCAGGGGAGGCCCACGGCGTCAGCGCCCCAAAACCGGCACCAAGCAACCCCTACTTTTAATCCACAAACCCCCAAACATCATCCGAGCTCCTGCTAGCCCCTTACCGCCCACAGCACCTCCCCAAAACCCCAAATTCACACCTCCCACCACCCAAAGCTCCTCAGGTGAGATCCCACGTCCTGGAGCACCCTCAGGGGCTCATCAGGGGCTGCCAGGGCTCACCAGCTCGATCTTTGCCTTCCTCCTGAGGACGGCGGCGGAGCGGGGATCGATGCCGGCCGGGAACGGCGCCGGGAGCACGGAGCAGAGCTGCTGCTGGCCAGACACAGCCTGGGAGGTGGAAAAGGCGAGGAAAGCTCAGAGAGGAAAGGCGCTGAGCCAAACTGGGGCTGCCAGTGCTGGTCACCAGCCCGGGACTGGCCACCCTGTGGAAGGAGCCACTGGTTTGTCACCCTTCCCTCAAGGTGCCGGAGCTGCCCCAGTTTCTCTCCCTCGTTAGCAGTAATTAAGCTGCTCTGGAGGGTTCTCCTGGGCCGCCTCAGAGCTCCAGCCCAGGGCTGTTCACGCTCTGGCACCCCGAGCCTCGGGTCACTCCCCTGGCCTCTTTCCCTGTCCCGTTCGCGGGGCCGGCACGGCTGTGCCCCCGAGCTGCCCCTCGAGCCCGGCTCCCGCGGGGTCCCCTCTGCCCGCGGCACCGTCCCCAAGCCCGGGGGACACTGGGGGGGCGTGGGGGGCACCCAGACCCCGTACCGGGTTTGTGTGCCCGGCCCCAGGCCCCGGGGAGGTCCCTGGGGTGCTGCGGGCTCCAGGAGAAGCGCGGCCGGGCTCTGCTGGCTCTGCTGCAGGTCCTGGAGGAGGATGAGGCTCGGCGGGTGGCTGAAGGCTCTGCAGGGGCTGGGGACAGAGAGAGGGACAGGGGACAGCGCTGCCAGCACGGCCCCGTGGTGGCTGGGGACACGGAGCGGCGCACCCCGACTCACCCCATCCCGGGCGGGCTGTGCCTCAGTTTCCCCAGCTCCACGCGGCGGCTGCTCCCGGGAATGGGGGCTGGGCTCCCTCCTGGCAGGGTCCGGAGGGGCTGCGGGGCTCGGGGGGTGTGACCCGCGCCCGCTGCCAGCCTTGGGGACACCAGGGCTGCACGGCTCTACCTGTGCGTCACAAACAGCCACCTCCGTTTGGCTTCATTTATTTAATAGCATTTTATAGTTTAAATAGGATTTTATGTATTTGATATCATTTTATGTATAATATAATAGTATAGTATAGTATAGTATAGTATAGTATAATAGAGTATATAAGAGTATATAATATATAATATAATAGTATATTTTATTGTATATAATATAATATTATATATTATATTAATTATTATATTGTGTTATACTATTATCTATTATCTATTATCTATTATCTATTATCTATTATCTATTATATATTATATAATACATATTATGTCTTATATAATTATATATTATATAATATAATTATATATTATATAATTATATATTTCATTCTATATAATAAACATATAAAATATAAATATGTATTATTTATCATATTATCAGAAATGGAAATTGCTTATAAATTGTAACTGCTTTCAGGCAGGAGGCAGATTTACAATGGCTTTGGCGGATTGTATAACTGAAAATGTGCATAAAGCAAGGCTGTCACAAGAGATAACCGCTCCTGTAAAACATATAACCAAGACAGCACAAACAGGGAACAAAACACCAGAAAAAGAGAATACCAGGTCCAAAGCGGCATCAGGAGACCACCAGAGGAGCCCCCTGCGCTGCCTCCTGACCACCCTGCAGCAGTTTGGGTCCTCATCCAATTCGATTTAGATTGAATCCTAATTCAATTCAATTTAGATTGAATCCTAATCCAATTCGATTTAGATTGAATCCTAATTCAATTCGATTTAGATTGAATCCTAATTCAATCCAATTTAGATTGAATCTTAATCCAATCGAATTTAGATCAAATCCTATTTCAATTCAATTTAGATTGAATCCCAATCCAATTTAGATTGAATCCTATTTCAATTCAATTTAGATTGAATGCCAATTCAATGCAGGGCGGAGCTGTGGCAAACCCGCCCCAGACTGAGCCAAGGAAAGTGAGGAAGTTGTGCAATTACAGTAGCACAACTGAGAAGTGTGCAGGCCTCTGGCTACAGCTACAGCACTGCCACTTCTGCTTTATTTATTTGTCCCTTATTTATTATCTCTTATTAAACCCTTCACATCTGAGGAGGGGCCTTTCTTTCCCGGCACTGCGCCACGGTGAGGGGACAAAGGCTTTGGGCAGGGGGCCGTGCTCCCCTGCAGGCTCTGCTTTGGGGTGGGGATAGAAAACATCCCCAGGGGAAGGGTTGGGGAAGGTGAAACAAGAAACCCTTATAAATAGGATTGCCTGGCTAAAGATTTAGGAAATACAGAGATTGAGATGGTAACAAGTTGTGAGGTACCAAACCTTAGTTACTGAACAACTAGAAAACAATAGTACAGCCAGGATGAAGACAATCCCCCTTCTGCTTGGACAATGCCCTTGCCTACAGGTAGGTCCAAGGGTCAGATGGACTGTTGGATCTCACCCCAATGTGTGGTTCATCCACACCTGTAACCTTCCCTGAAGCATCAGGAGTCTGTGACCCCAGTGGCCTAAATCTTGTTCCAGCCCACCTTGAACCCCCTGACAAGGAGTCCCTGAGGAGCCGGACGCTCTCTTGGAACTTCTGTTCTCTTGGAAGTGCCCCTCTCCTGAACATCCTCTTGGGATCGTCTCTTATCTCCC